AATTTCAAACTTATTGAGAAACCCGAGCCTTTTAGGTACTCGAGAACCTCAGGTCCCATTCCTCTGCTGTATTTCTCTCTTTGCAGGTTTGGAATTACAAGCTTCGGCGCTGTCTCTTCACATTGCTGGGGCACTTAGACTACATACGTACCACATTTTTCCATCATGTAAGTATCCATGTGCCTCTAGTTTTAGAGCATTCTTCAGTTTCCCTGTAGGAATCATTTTTTTTCCCCTCAAGAATCCAAACATTGATAAAACAATTATGTTATTGGAGTAACTCTTCTAGGATCTCTGTGGTGTTGACCTTCCTCCTTTGTTTCATTCTAGAAAAGAAAGCACTCAGGATTATATTGAATTAAATCAGAATCAGCACTCCCTTTGCTAATATAGCTGAGAATTTAGACAATGGAATGTTCCCTCCAAAGAGAGAAGTGGTTGCAGGAGCCTGAAAGAACATATTCGTTTAATGTTCAAACCCTTTTTCTGGAATATCTTTCAGGAATATCCTTGGATTCTGAGCGCCTCAGACGATCAGACCATCCGAGTGTGGAACTGGCAATCTAGAACCTGTGTCTGGTAAGGCAGGAAACAGGGCGCAAACGTGTCTTCATTCTTCCTAGTGTTTTATAATCAACTTCTCTTCAGAATAATCATCTCCCTCCATAATGCACAGTGTCTACTGATTAACTACTGATTGTATTTGTAAGGTGCTTTTATGTACAAAATGAAAATATAGAGGCAATCTTATAAGTAATATATGGATCTGGATTTTCCGATCATTTCTTACCAGAGAAAGGAGGTCATATAACTAGGTTTTTAGAACAAAACTTTTAGCTGGTTTTCACTTCTGTTCTTGTGAAACCTGAGTCAAAGTCTAGACATCTGTCTTGCTTTGTTTTGCCTTGAGCTTTCCAGGATGTAAGGAAGATGTAAGGGCCATTTTAAATGATGCCTTTTAAGAGGGATATTCCACTAAAATTAACAGATGATTTCCACTATGAATTACTAAGATTTCATTTATTTTGATATTTTAATATGGCTTTTGAGGAGAGCTGTGCCATCTCAGTTCTCCTGAAATCATTAATATTAAATACTAATGCATTAGAGGGAAGAGAGCTATTGTTAAAACAGCTGGCCTTCTTGTTACTAGTTTAGAACTGTTAGGTTGACTTATCTTTGCCTCAAAAAAAGTATAATTGGATTTGCATCTGTTTAATTTGGAGAATGGTGTTTAACATGTAGGAGCCTGGTGATTCCTGCCTTTAATTTGGCATTGTCTTTCTTCTTCTTCTTACAGTGTTTTAACAGGGCACAACCATTATGTAATGTGTGCTCAGTTCCACCCCTCAGAAGACCTGGTTGTATCAGCCAGCCTCGACCAGACTGTGCGCGTTTGGGATATTTCTGGTGAGCTGCCCAATTCAGAGGAAAACCTAATTATGTCTCATGCAAAACTGCAATTTCTTAAAATAGGGTAGTTGGCTTGGAACAGCAAAATTTAGAATATTCTCTTCTCATATAGCATCTCTGTTTCTGAGTATATTAAATCTGTTTTCATGGTTCTTCATGTTAGAGGTATTTCCTAAGAAAAGTTGTTGCTCTAGAAAATTTATTTAATTTGAAGGAAGTTGCACTTTTTTGTTAGATCAGTTTTAGTTAAAGTCTATATATCATTGGCAATATTTGATTAAAAATCAAGCTTTACACAAATAAAAAAAATATTTGACAAAAATAAAGTTGGGGAATAAATTATTACAGGGAAACAAAACTCTCGAATCTTGTGGCCTCATTTAGAAATAGGAAAATCTTTTATATTTCTTCTAGTGTAAGGATCATGGGGAGGTGGGGCAGGAGGTGGTATGTCCAGAATACCTTTTAATGTTATAACAGACTTCTAAGACCAGAAATTAACTTCCAGATTTTGGGTAATTGGAATAGTCCCTCCTTTCACAGTTTATATATCTTAATTTTGTACAGTATATAAATGTTTAGTACTTTATGGAGGGGATCCAATAAGTTACTAACCAGAAAAAAAAATTTTTTCCCATTTTGATCCAACATTTATTACCCTTTTACAACATGTCCTTTTGGATTTAGAAACTGCTTGTGATTAGTTTTCTAACATTAACTCAAAAGCATGTAAAATAAAATCAACCTACTCTCTATATAAACACCCAGCAACTGTGGCCCTTTATCCTCATGCCCAAATTGGGTAGTGGGAAGAAGGAAGGGCTCAAGAAGCACTGAGTGAAGTGCAGTTGCTTTACTGTGGGGAGTGATGGTAGTTCCTTGGCTAACCAGAAAATTTAAATGCAGAGAAAAGACGAGCTATGAGATTGACATGCTGGGTAAATGGAAGTGCTTTGCTGAGAGTTGGAATGGGGAAATGAGACTCTAAATGCTGTGATTTTCGGCCCAGTTAAATTTACTTACCACTTGCTGAATCGTCTCTATTTGTTTGTTGCCTTAGAAGTTCTTTGAGCCCAACCGGTTTGGCTAAGTGGATAGAGTGTTGGCCTGTAGACTGAAGGGTCCCACGTTCGATTCTGGTCGAGGGCCCATGCCCGGGTTGCAGGCTCAATCCCCAGTGGGGGGCATGCAGGACACAGCCGATCAATGATTTTCATCATTGATATTTCTATCTCTCCCTCTCCCTGCCTCTCTGAAATTAATAAATATATGTATATATTTTTTAAAAAAGAAATTCTTGGAAATTGGGTTCTCTGAAAGATTAATGGCTAGACAACAAACACTGTTTTTATTCTGTAAAAGGAAGGTCCTCACATAGGTCCTGCTGGTTCTTTTTGGTCATGAGGGAGTCACCCTTCTGCATTGTATGGTCAAGGTGATAACGTCCCAACTCTTGTGGCTTGGTGGGCTGAGACAGTATGGTAGTTGTTGTCCCAAAAAGCCATTTGAAACAGCGAGTTGAAAATTTGGATTCCTGGGTGCAGCATTTGGAATGTTGTAATAGCTGTTAAGATTCATGTGGCCCAGAAACAAGCCCATGGGAAGATGAGGACAGTTGGAGAGTAGAACCTCTACAACATGTGGTGTTTGCAGTTTTCAAAGGTTCTGAATTAGAAGGGACTGGTATACAAGATTGTATTAGAGATAAAACAGAAGGACCCTCTTCAGCTAGGGCTTTTGCCATTGCAGTTTTTGTCAGACTGGCTAGGCATTGTGAGGTATACTCGGATGTGACCAGCCATGCCAACAAGGAGTTAGGCACAGGCTCTGTGAACCTGTGCCCTTTCCTCACTGCTAGTGCCAGGGAGCTTATTATTCACTGTCCCAGTAACCTAGCTATGGGTTTTCACTATGTGCACATTCAAAGCGCTTTCTCTGTCTCAGAACATAGGAGCTCGATGGGGTAGGATCCTAGCTCATGCTGTTCCTGCTG